TGTATATAAAAATTCTCCTTTTTTGGTATTTAAGTTCAAAACAAAAACAGGTTTTTAAAAAAAAGCAAGCTGAGATCAGAGATCTCATAACAGTTTTTTGGTCTGGTTTGGTTTTTTGGCTTGTTTTTTTTTTTTTGTATGTGTGTGTATAAATTCAGAATAAGAAACAAATTAAAACCAAAAAACAAGGAAGGTTCTAGGGGAACCTGAAGCCTTGAGGCCACATGTGGCCTCCTAGGTCCTCAAGTGTGGCCTTTTGAATCCAAACTTCACAGAATAATAAAAGTATCTGTTCTGTGAAGTTTAGATACAGTCAAAGGGCCGCACTGGAGGACCTAAAGGGCCACAAGTGGCCTCGAGGCCATAGGTTCCCCACCCCTGTTCTAGAAAGTTGGGAGACTATAAGAGCAAAATGTTCTATAAACTGTCAGATGGTGTCATCGTATCAAATATTTCTGCTTGTGTCTGTCACAAAAAAAAATTTCAATTTTGGAAGAGAATACTGGGAGGGTTTTGTTCATTTTTCAAAAACGAATATTTTTTGACAAGTCACCAATATAACTTGTTTTAAAGAAAGAAAAAAAAAGGAAAATCCTAGAGATGAGTTCTAAACAATGCTACAATTTAGATAGATTCAGAACTAGTGGAACGGCTGAACCCAAAGAGTAGGCATTAATGGTTCAATTAGCATGTGGACCTCCACAAGTTCCTATTTTGACACTTCACTATGGTATGCTGGTAACTATGAGTTCTCAAAAGCTATGCCAGTGGAGAACAAGCTCTGGCAGATACTATTTATCACGTTAAAGAAAGGTTTCAGGTATGTCCTTGACAATATAATCAATCAGAGGATCAAAGAATGTGAACTGGAAAGAACCCAGGACATCTTCCTTTCTTCCTCAATAAGCTCACTGCCTATCTTACAGTCTTTCTTTCCATGCCAATGTCTGCCCACAAATTAAACAACTTCGAACATACATTACTGATGCTGTGTAGTGGTTGAGAGCTGGGCCTAAAGTCAGGAAGACTACCTGCCAGGTAGTGAGTGCTTGTTTCTTTCCTTCTTTGTTATAATAGCTAGAGGCAAGTGGCACAGTGGATAGTGGTGAGCCTGGAATCTGGAAGATCTGACTTCAAATCTGCCTTGAGACACTTATTAACTGTGGGACTGGGCAAGTGCCTTAATCTCTGTTTGTTTCAGTTTCCTCAACTGTAGAATAGGGAATAATAGCACCTACCATGCCAGGTTGGGCAGCTAGGTGGCACAGTAGATAAAGCGCTGGGCCTGGGGTCAGAAAAATCTGACTTCAAATTAGGCCTCAGACACTTACTAGCTGTATGACCCTGGGCAAGTCACTTAACCCTGTTTGCCTTACTTCCTCATCAGTAAAATGAGCTGGAGAAGGAAATGGCGAACCAATCCAGTATCTTAGCCAACAAAATTCCAAATGGAATCACAAAGAGTCACACACAACTTAAACAACTGAACAATATCATGCAAGGTTATCGTGAAGATCAAATGAAGTATTTTTTAAAGTGTTTAGCACATAGTAGGTACTAAATAAATGTTTCCTCTTCTCCTTCCCTCCAATACTCTAACTTCCTAGGACTTCAATCCCCTCAGTTCCCATTATCTACTCCTCCACTCCACATCAACTACACGAAGAGATGGTCATATCCTTGAATCTCTCAAGTGTTCCAATTTTCCCTTCGTGTACTCTGAAAATCCTCTCTTACCATAATCTTCTATCATTTCATCTCTCCCTGCTTTTACAACCCCTAACTATTCTTCATCCTCCCCATGACCTCCATTCTTTGACCGTTCAATTTGTCTCTAGGCTACTACCCCTAAACTCTTCTCCCCTCCTCAATCCTTTGGTGAACCAAATGAGTTCTATACAAAAAGTGTCAAACTTGAACAAGATTAAAATGTAACTGGGAAATGTTTAACAAAATAAATAAAAACACAACATGGCACTTGTTGTTGTCTTTCAGTAGTTTGTGTCTGACTCTTCCTGACCCTGTTTTGGGAGTTTTGGCAAAGATAATGGAGTATTTGCCATTTCCTTCTCCAGCTCATTTTACAGGTGAGGAACTGAGGCAAACAGGGTTAAGTGACTTGCCCAGGGTCTCATAGCTAGTGAGTATCTTGAGGCCACATTTGAACTCAAGAAAATGAGTCTTTTTGATTTTAGATGCAGCAACAAGGCACTCTATCCACTGTGCCACCTTGCTGCCCTAGAATACAACACAGATAATGTTAATTTCTGTTTTTTTAAGTCAATATCCCACCTCCATCCCATCAGTTTTTCAGTCTTACACTATCTTCTACTCTTGACTCCCTTGCCTTCTTGTACTACTGCCAATCCCAGCTTGTCAAACTTCAAGCCTGGATTAACTCTACTAATCCCCGACAGCCCCCGCCCTCCCTCCCACTGCTGAATAGGACAGGAGGAAATCATGAAACCATGCTGACCTAACTTGACATAAGTAGATTCACTACAAATTTATGCTTTTTAATCCCCAAAAATTTATGCTATTTAATCTCAAAAAATAGCAAGAAAATCATCCTACTCCTCCATAATCAATACCTACTTACTCTCCTTGGCAATTGATTTAAACCTCACCTCAAGTCTATGTGGTATCGCCATCATCCACAGTCTCAGCTGAAGACCTTAACCCCCTTCCTTAACTGAAAAAACTGAGGTCATCAGCTGACTGAACCCTCCAATGGAATGTGGGACCCAGAACTAAACATGCTGGTCCTTGTAAGGTTTGATGAAGTAAGAGTACAGTTGGATTATCATTTCCCCTATTACTGGACACTATGTCCTTCAATTTACCCCAAGATCACATTTGCTTTATTTGTTGTCTTATTACACTGCTGATTCATAATCAGCTTGCAGTCCCCTAAAACTTTAAGATCTTTTATAGAACTGCTATCTGTTCACAACACCCCCATTTCATACTCGTGAAAAGTTTTTTACTTAAGCATAATACTTCACAATTAGTCTTACTGAATTTCATCTTATTAGACCCAGCCCAACACTCTAGTCTTCTAAGATTCCTTTGAATCCATCTCCATCTATTCTGTTAGCTATCCCCCAGCTTTGTGACCCTTGTGAATCCAATTCTTATCCCACTTACATCTTTACAGAAGTCATTAGTAAAAATGTTAAAGAGCACAAGGCCAGCCACAGATAACTAGAATGCTCCAATGGAGATCTCCTGCCATGTTGACAATGAATTAACAACTACTCTAAGTCTGTCTATCCAACCAGTTCTGAATCCACTGAATTGTACATTCCTTGAAGCCAAATTTCTCTACTTTCTCCTTAAAAATATTATGAGATACTTAACCAAAAAAAACTGCCAAAATCTAGGTAAACTATATCCTATCATCTTCTAGTTTAGTCCTGTCAAAAAGGAAATTAAGTCAGACAAATACGATGTTATAAATGAAACTAAGATGGTACTTTGAAATCACAATTTCTCTTTTTAGCTATTCCAATACAATACAATATCTCTTGAGCATTACACTCTAGGATTTTCCCTGGAATTGAAGTCATGTTCACTGACTTGTTTTACAGATTATGTTTTCTTTCCTTTTCAAAAAATCAAGACATCTGCCCCTTTTCAGTCTTGTAGTACCTCTCCCATTTCCCATGATCTTTCAAATATCACAGATATTTGGGTAAGGGAGAGTTTTCATGGACGACACAGTGGTAACTGGGTAGATAGTGCTACTAGTAGAGTAACAGGAAGTTCAGAAGGGGGAGGATTTGGAAGGAAAGACAAAGAGTTCTATTTTGGACATGTTGAGTTTGAGATGTCTATATGACTTCCAGTATAAGAAATCCAAGAGGCAGTCAAAGATGCATGACTGTAGCTTATCAGAGAGAAACTAGGCCTCAATATACAGACCTGGGAATCAGCTACAGAGATGATAACTGAAAACATGGGCACTGATGAGATCCACAGAGGAAAAAGGAAAAAGGGCCCACAATAGAACTTTGAGAGATGCCCATGTTTCATGGGTAACTCATAACTAAAGAAAACAGTCTACATGTGTTAAAGATATCCTTCACCCTAACCATCCTCTCTAAGCTCCATCCCCACCCAAACTTGATGTCTACTGTTAACTGGTCTATTATACTTGGGTTTTAAGGTTTACAACAACTCTGTGAATTGGATAGATAAGGAACTCTAAGGACTCTTAAAAGTTCTAAATCTATGAATCTATGAAGTATTATTATCCTCATTTCACAGAAGGTAACCGGAGCTTGGAAGAGTAAATGGTCACACAGACAGTAAATGCTAGAGCTGGGAAATTATAACAGATTCAAAATGGAACCTAAATTAATAAGGATTTTTATTTTGTTTTAAAAAAAAACTTCCTTAGGATTTTAAAGCAAAATTAGGAAGTTGGTGATGTATGTCTTTGGGAACCTCTGCCAGCTCTTTATTCAGTAACTCCTCTTATATGGCTCCCTTGATTTTTAAAAATCTCTCTCTCTACTTTCCCCTATATCACAAGTCACTTATTGTACATTACCATCACAATTTAAAAAATGCTCTAATCAATTCATTCATGATAAAGTATTAATATCTGATAGTGCTTAATATCATATCCTTCTCTACAAGGAGTAATATTGCTGTTTTAACAGGTAATGTCCAACACTGACGATAGGCTGATAGATATTTGTGCACGTACTGTGTGTGCGCATGCACACATGCATGCAGATGCTCTGCAAACTTGGAAGGACCTACTAGTGACCCTCAAAGCAAACTACATAGATAACAGCATACTTCAATTATGTGCAAAGCTGGTCCTAGTTCAGGGCCTATTATTCAATAATTAGCTCATTATTTAGTTGTCTGATTTTTCAATACATACAGTTTCAAACAATTAATTTATAAAATTCTGAGCTCACAGTTACTCTTCATCAAAACCACAGAAGAGATGCAATGCTCACTTTGAAAAGTAGTAACTCAGTTACCTGTCTGTTACTTCGGGGGAGCCTTGCTAATCGTACTCCTGACATATCAAATAATCTAACTTGTCGGTTGTCATGTGGAAGGGCAATGATTCTTTGACCAACACATACATTAATCCTGCAGAGAAGAGATAAAAGCAGTTTATGTACAGAACCTGCCAAACAGGACTTCACAGAACAATTTTTTTATTTCACTAAAATGAATATTAACTACTTTTTGTGTTTTACTGAAAAATATGGTATTGGAGATATTATCTGAAGCAAGGGACAAAATTACTTATCTCCAGCTCCACTATATGCAGCTGTTACTCAAAACTAGACAAAGTCTACCCCACTGCATTAAAAATTATCTATAATTTCTGCCCATTGTTAAGTATATAATACAGAAAGAACCTAACTTTTGGGTTTGTTTTTTTTTTTAATCATACCAACCCAGGCTGATTTAATTTTTCACAAGTAAATGTCTATTGAGGGTCAATAATGAAATATGTAAATTATCTTCCAAAAAGATTCATTTACAAAGTTCTAAGTTAGATGCTTTGGGAAACTATATTCAACACTTTTCAGAGCATTAGGAAACTATTTTTATATACCTTTACATAACAAATAGTTTAATTTTACCTGTTTATAGCAGAGTCTGTTCGGATAGTTGCAATTGGGGATCTCATATTTTTCAAATCCCATACTTTTACAGTACGATCATCACTGCCTGAAACAACATTGTCCCCCACAGTAAACACAGCAGAGGTCACAGTGCTAAAAATAAAAGATAAAATATCAATTTAAAAACTTTAATTCAGGTTGATTTGTTTTAATATTTTCATAGACAATATTACATACTGTCCCATATAAAATACAACAATAACTTTTGCAAATTTCTAAGAGGGCTATTGTTGATATATTGATTCATATTATGTAAAGGTAAGTGATATTGTGTCTTCTGCTCTTATCATACTTTGAAAATTCTCTAACAAACAAAACTCAAATTTGGTAAATCCCATTACCTTCTCTTTCATCAAACAAAAAAAAAAGCTCATTCTATTAGCATTCTAACTTCTTTCATTCTAACAAAACAACAACAAAAAAAATGGAAGAGGAACTAGTGAAAAAAATATAGGCTGAAACCTGCATGAATTCCTATATTTCTGAGTATGTGAGAGATTCAAGAAAATGATATGCATGTGTATGGTTTATGACAATTTCATAAATTACTTCAAATGTAACTTTTAATCAAATCAATCAGAAATATACTTCTATAAATGGGCAATCAGAACAATGTATTACCTCAGAGTCTTACTATGCAGTTCGGTCTAATTATAATAATTACTGAACTTTTCCGCCACCAAGTACCTCAAAGAACCACTAAAAAAAAAAAATCAAACTGTGAGAATAGAAGGAGGGGATAACTCCCAGAGAGCTAAAAAGGAGCCAAGAAAAGTGTAGGCAGAGATTTAGAAAACCTGGATTATTGGCAGGAACAGGAAAAAGGGGATTGGGGAGTGGGGTTAATATCTTTTAGCCTTATGCATCTTCTACAATTTATTACTGCATTGGTCTGAACATAGCCCACCAAAAAAAATGGCATATCTGAGATTTCTTCGAAAGGAAAAAAAAAGAACATCCTCTGAAAATAATTATACAAAATTAATGCACTGAAAAAATCTTTTCCATAAGTTTTTTTCTTTTTACCATTTCTTTCAATTCCAATACAGAGGGGTCTGATTAATTATTTTTAGCACTGCCCTCTTCACCTTTGTCATTTTTGTTGCCTTTCTTGCTAAGATTACAATCATAGGCCCCACTAACATTTTTTACAAGGCAAATTTTGAGAAGAATATGGCCTGCATCTGGATCAACATGACTCTCCTTTCAACCTAAATACAGTGTCTTGTGTGTCTGTGTGGGTGTGTGTGTGTACATATGTATGTATGTGCATATATGTGTGAGTATACAGTACAGTACATAGCACTAATTCTTAATGACTAAAATTTCAAGGAATACAAATTTTAAATACTATTCAAAAATTACTCTGGCCTCCAATGCCAAATCTAGATGTAAATTACATAAGATATTCAAAGTTACATTCAATAGCTTCATTGTTTTCCAAGATCTTTGATTCTTTATAATGTTATTAATTCTTCAAACAAAATAGGAGTGTTTCTCCACAGGAAAAACCATACCCAATGCCTTTCTGGTGTAGGAAATCAGCTTTCCCCCAGTTGAAAGTAAGAAACAGAAAAGGATTTCATGAAGCACTGTGCTTCAAACTCCATGACAGAAATCTTACTTCTTCATATAATAAGTTCTGATTGTGCTTATTACCTCCCCTTCCCTTTCTCCCTTTCTTTTATCTAAAAGAATGTTATTTTAAAAATAAGATAAAACCCAGATTCAGACCTTTATGGGCTTAAGCAAACAGTAAGGTGTCAATTTTTATAAGACATGAGGTACTAGCCAAGCTTTATGACCCCTAGAAGCTGTAACACATTTAAAGTTTTTCAAAGTGACTACTGAACTTAATACATACATATATATATGTATGTATATATATATGTGTGTGTGCGTGTATATATATATACATATATATACATATATATGTGTATATATATATATATATGTATGTATGTATATGTATTTATTTTCCCCCAAAGACTAAGGTATTCTATAGGTTTAAAGTCAGAGTAAGATGAATCCACAGCACACAAATATATTGCTACCACCTCATCAGCCTCAGTCACATGGGCTATCAACCTGGTACCCTACTTTAAAAGAGTACTGACCACTGTTTGGATAATATATGAATCACTTCTCATGACTGCATATATGAGCTCATAAATCAAAAGCCTGACTAATTTTCAACTATTAGATTTACTGGCATACTTTCTAGTTGGGGTCATACACATCAATTTCTTAGAATTTAGTAATTCTAATTTTAAATGTCAGTTGTTCCTGTCACTTCTGCTGTATTATAAGAATTTGATTTCATGTTCTATTCAGACTACTGATTAAGATTAGCACTATCCATGTCACAATGGCCCAGTTTACGAAAGCCTTCTTAATTTAAATTGACGTCAAATTAAGCTCTAATTAGGACTAAACTCTATTAAATTGATGATACAAAGTTTCTCAGTGTAATACCAAAGTGCAGCAAAGCTACTAATGGAAAATTTGACATGACGCCTGAATCAAAGAGCTTCACCAAAACTTTCTGATCATCTTCTCCATAACACAACTACTACACACAATGTGAGAGGTTTAGTGTGTAACTGAGCAGTGTTTTTGTCTATTTTTTTAAAAAAACAGGGCACATTTTCTATTTTCCAAGTATGCACTCTTTTAAACATATCTACATGAATACAAATAAAATTCCTAAAACAGACCATTTCATGTCATTTCTCCCAAGTTAAAAGGTAAGCTTCTTGTGGGCCAGAACTAGGTCATACACACACTTTTCTAGTATACCTGTAGCACCCAGAAGAGTACTTGACACAGTAAGTGTTCAGAAATTCTTGATTAATTGATGGACAAAAGCAAACTACGATAACAGATATCTTTAGGTTAAGATAATAGGAAAAGTGGTTGGCCACATAATACCACTATCACATAATACACTAAATAATAATACATAAAGATTAGTAAGATATCACAAAGCATTCTTTAACTCCAAATTTATCAAGCACCTTAAGAATTTACCAACAGATGGAGAGGGCATAAAGGGAGGCAACCTTGTCTAAACAAATGACATACATTCTGAATCCAAGTCTGGTTGAACTCTGATCCAGATGCCTTTAGATTTACTGGAAATCAACTATACCTCATTCACTATCAGAAAGTCTTATTTTATCCTGAAATCCATCAGAACTATAAGAGTAACTGAAAACTGCTATTAGCCCACAGTGAATGGCAACATGCAACATTCATCCAAGGTGAATATCATCCAAAAATGTCTTAGTCATCTGCAGGGATATTTAGTAGAGGTTAACTGAAGTTTTTTGGTACTCAGTAAGAACCAAATGAAATTTGCCAAAAATATCTAGTTATTAAATCTCACCAGAGAACTAAGATCTTTATAAAAGCTCATAAAATACTCACCAAAAGGGTATTTATGGTCCTGCTACAGTTTCGCTGTATTTTTTTTAAAGGAAAGTAACATTAAAAATCTCAAATCTGACAGAACCAAAAATGGTGGGATTCCTGCCCTTAGAAACACAGGAAGAATCCATTCCCTATGAAACTCTAGCAGTCTATGCCATATCATAAGGTAAAAGGTTGATATTCTCACTTAGAATTGACAGTGACTATTCCTAGATTTCCTTGGAATCTCCTAAGGAAACCTAGGCTCCTGGCTTTAGAAAAAGCAAAGGGAAGCCAGATTCCCTCAAGCAATATTTCCCTTTAGCATTATGTCTAGAGTCCCAGTTTGAGGGAAGAAGTGGCTAGAAAAAGGAAGTGAGTGGGAAAAATTAAGCTTGAAACTATGGTATTAACAGAAAGAGTACTAGTCTTCTTCAAGATAGGGTTGAATTTCAAGCTCTGATGCTTACTGGTTATCTTGAACAAATCTCTGAACTCCTCTGTGCCTTAGTCTCAACTGTAAAATGAAGAAAATGTGATCCTTGGATCACAATTTTAGAGCCAAAAATGACCTCAGAGAATACCGAGTCAAACTCTCTTCTTTGACTTATGGGGAAAATGAGGCCCAGGGAAGTTTACTGACTTGGCCAAAGTCCAACCAGGTAGGAAAGCCCAGATGCAAACACAAGTCCTCTGAGTCCAAATCTAAAGATCTTTCCAATATTCTTTATTACCACCCATACATTATGAAGAAAGTGTTTTATAATTCATCTTACATAAAAATGAGCTATAATATATGAGCTATAATGATCTGTAACTGTTCCTCAATAACAGCAAAAAGAGCTAAGCTATGCCTTTGTAAAGAGGTAGAAAAAAATTATCTCAAAGAATGATCATTGTCTCTCACTCTCCTCTTTTTTTTTTTTAGACAGGAACTGATTTCACTAGTGGAGGCATGTCCCTGTAAGAAGTTCCTTTTAACAGTACAGATCAGCAACTCTTATGAAATTTGCAGTTAATATATAACTCTATGGTGACAAAATTCTGGAAGCCATTGACCTGGATGAGACGAAAGAGGGTCCTTGATACAGCAAGGAGGAAAGTAGTTAGCTGAGTTATCGTGATCAAAACTGAGCTTAGGCTCTGGTTGTCACCTCTGATCTACAATAATATGAACACTAGCAGCATCCCTCTGAAAAGAAAAATGTGCTTGGTGGAGGAATCAGGTGAGCAATATCAGATTTGAAACCAAAAAGAGTCAATCATTCTTGACCCTGCATGGAAGAGAAGGCTCAACAAACTGAGAAAAGAAGAAACTTCTTCACTCTAAAGGTCCTGGACTAAGAGATGACTAACAAGCAAATCCTAAAAGGTCTAAGAATCCCCACAATCTGAACGCAGATGGAAGTATATTTTTTCCACTTATTTTATTTTTTCTCATGTTTTTTCCTTTTGCTCTGTTTATTCTTCCACAACTGTGACAAATATGGAAATATGTTTTACATGATAGCACATGTATAAACTATATCAAACTGCCTACCATTTCCGAAGAGGGGAGGGGAGGAAGGGAGGGAGAAACATTTGGAAATCACAATCTTGTAAAAATGAATGCCAAAAATGTTCTTGATATGTAATTGGGGAAAAAATAAAATAAGAATCTCCACAATCTAAATCAACTTCAG